CCCCAGGGACACTGTGTTTATAGATGTACATCTAAATGTATAATAATATAAATATACGATCATCATCTGTATCAGGGACAGATAATAACTGGCGGCTCATGGTTCTAAAATTCAATTTTTTTTAACAATTATCTTTGAAAATGTGCGAAAAAAAGGTCTTTTGAAGGACGGRTCGTAAGACTAAAATGTTTGAGACTAACCCTTAATTTTGAGTTTACCTTCCCCGCTACAAAGGTTAAACCTCTTTTTTCGTCTAAATTGTATGAGTCTTCTGAATAATAAAGATGATATCTATTCTGTACACCATCTAGAACTATAAGATAATATCATTTCGCTTGTTAGAAATAACTTAATACATCAACTACCTATTTATAAATATTAATTCRCATACAACTATATGATAATATATATACAAGTTGCATATCATCTCAGCATTTTTCAAGATAACGTCTTGAAACTTATTTTTTTATAAATGTTGGAAAACGAAAAATTTCAAAAATTATTATTAACATATGAAATTATAATTACGGTTAACAACGGTTAAGTTTTAATGAATTGTTAATAAATAAAATGAGTGTTGACGAAAACGGTAGACACCCTCTATATACACATCATCGAAAATAATAATAGAGAGAACGCAAAACCCAGTCTATTATGGAAACCATACATTGTATACGCTTACAAATTTGTTCATTATAATTTTTTTTGTTGAATAAATTGTTTTTCGTAGTCATTTATACTCAAATTTACTTAAGGCCGTCATTATTAACGAGCAATTAACACATGCAAAAAAAAATAACAAAACGTTATTTTATTATACATGGCATAATATATAAGTATTAGGTACCTAGCTGTTTATTTAATATTCAAAGGTGAGCGTGATTGTTATGAATATATAATTTTAACCTAATTATTATAGTTAGTTAATTTTATAGTTAATTTAAGAACTTAACTAATTTAATTGGCTGTTGAGATTATTGAAATAGGTAATTCCACTTTTTTCAGTTGAATTGAATCAACTAAGACCAAGTACCTACCTATCACGTCAAAATTTAAATTATTTTTGAAAATGTTGCTTTTAATGGGTCCAATGGTTTAATATATTAATTACCAAACATTTTTTAAGATAAATACGAAGTACCTATATTAGTTATTAAATATTTAAACTAAAAAAGATAACAACTTTARTTATTTTGTTATATTTCACAAGATATAAATCGCAGGGACTTAAAATATCATAACCATTTGTAATAACATCAGTGCTGTAGTCCAGTAGTCCTAAAAAAATCAGAGGGTATAATATTAAACATTTATACTATCATTAGGTATCACTTTGGTAGAGGGTAAACAACACAACACACATGCATTAATAATTGTACAAATTAAAATTAAAATTAAATTCTAAATAAATTTATTGAAAAATATTCTACAGTACATTGTCGTCAATCGCTCAATATATAATATATTTAATTATATACATATATATATATATAAATTATGTCTAATACAAATTGTCTATCTTAAGTGATTCTTAACATTCTTAGTTTTTCTATCAAAAATATTAATTATAATCTAATGACTTTTATCTTTCTATTATTTGGTAATTTCACTACAACAGAGAGTATACGACCTTAATCAGAAGGTATACGGAGTTTATTAGAAATAACCAGAAACTATATACCGCCGTATATACCCTCCACTACATCACTGAATAACATATTATAATTATTTTTTTTAAGCACAGCAATTTTCAAAACGTTAGACACATTATATTTATATAATTATATCATTAACCTATAGGTTATACACTTATACCTACATCATCATATCGGTATCGATTCATAATAATACAGTATAGAAATCGGTTATAATAACGAATTTCAAGGGACAGCTCTTTGTATGCTTGTTGTAACCGATTAAAAACGGGAAATACAAAAATAAAATCGACTTTTTTATTTTACTTATAATCGAGATTATAATACTAAATTTATACACGTATGTACATAGGTACATTATTTATACATTAATACATAAATTTATTAATAATTATTATAATTGGAGATTTAATACTTTATTTATCAATACATTTGTTACTTAAACATTTGAATTTAATTTCTTAAAATAATCTTTGATCGAACTTTGCTTCATGTATTTAGTGTTAATTGATGTTTCTAATAAAAACTAAGCTTTTTTTTCAGCATCTGTACCTTCATATTTTGTGTAATAAAATCTTTCTAGTGTCCTCGATGCAGAATGAGCTTCGGATATTGACGGCACAGTTTCAAAATCATCATCAAGCTCATCTAGGTATATCAGTATCATATTGCTCAACTTGTTGGCTAGCTATGACATTGTAGACTAAATCTTCATCCATTTGAATTGCTGACGTTATGAGGTCAATCTATACGTAGTTCTCATTGATGTAATWAATCAACTGCTTATAACAGTGAAGTATTGATTGAAACGTCACAAAAACCTGCATGTAGAAAGCAATTAGCAATACCCGTCGATGTTACATTACGCCAAGCTTTATCCAGCATTATTATGGCATCCAAAACAGTCGTTTTTGATTCCAATTAATTCTCAATATCCTCAATCATTTTCAGTACCAACTGATTCCAGTAATGAGCTTTAATGGTCCTTATAACGCCCTGGTCCATTGGTTGAATCTTGAAGTACAGTATAGTACTGTATGCGAGCAAAAATACGAGTTTAATACATTTCAAATGCTGGACCTGGTGTGCAGGACAGTTGTCCACCAATAGTAGATTTTTTTTACGGCGTAATTCATCATCCCAATAATTAAGAGTTTTTTCATAAATTGCTGAAGCCATCCAAGCTTTGGTACTATATTCATTAAATACTGGAAGTGAAGAAACTCCTTTAAAACATCGAGGGCTTTTCGACTTTCCAATAATAAGGAGTATTCTATTATCAGTTCCGGACGTTCCGTTCATGTCGGCTACCACTGAAACTATTATTTTGTCTTTGGATAATTTTTCACGCGAGCATTTTTCCCGCTTGAAGCGAAGAGTATTAACGGAAGTTAATTTGGAAAAAAGGCCTGCTTCATCGGCATTATAAATTTCATCATCACAGTAACCAGCTCGAAGGAATGGCCAAATGTCAGCCAGCCAATTAGAACAGATATACTTATAATATGCAGTATTAACTGCAGATGGCTCACCTGAGATCTTTCCGAAACCAATGTTGTGCCGTTATCGAAAACGCTGAATTCAAGATGCAGAACATTTGAAATTTTCTATTTTCATTTTTTGCTTGAAAAATAGGACCACTTATAGACACATTCAATAACCGTTGTTGTTTGAACCATACTAGTACAGCTTCTTCAAGGTCCTTATGGCCTTATATTGTGCAGTGCGCAGTCGTTTTGCAATATAAGTGACGTGGATTGAAACATATTTTTCAAAGTATCCCGATTCTTCCATATGATTGTGCAACACACCTCCTTCGTTTATTAAATCTAAGTGGTTGTCGATATTTATACCAAATCCTATCAAGTTAAGGAGTAGTCCGCGGTTAGCTATTCCTACTACACGAACCGATCTTGAGAACCGGGTAGTTGGATCGATACAAAAAAAGTTTCCTAAGTTATATTTTACAGGTCCTAGGAACTTATGACCTGCGTTTATAGACTAACACAATGGAACACGATATAGTAATGTAAAACGAGATTTATTAAATGATTGAATAATATTAATATTATATGTATAGTACACTATCACCCGAGTTACCCTGTTCTTGAGAGTAGTATATTGAACATTGAAGATCACAGGAGTAGCGGAGTACGAGCTGAACAATTGAAAAAGTGATTTTTTAAAGTAGGCTTGACTGTGTTTTAGACACGTCCGTGGTTTAAACTCGACTGTCTGGCTATATTTTATAATATACATATATGCTCGTACTCTACGTTCCTGTGTTCTGTTAACCTAAGCAAAATTGCCGAGCGTGACATAAATTACAAGTCAGTAATCTGTAAATCGTTACAATTGAAACTGTCGAACGAAAGTGATGCCAAATTCTTATGCGATTACGCTGTTTTTCTCACCATATTCTAAACGCCTGATTATTCCGATTATTTTGTCCAACGTAAACTAACGAAACGACATGGTGGAACGTCTTCACTGAACTTACTAACGAGTAACGTTTACCACTATTTATAATTTTAATCAACTTGAAAACACCAGAATTTGTAGGAATAACGTTTTTTATTAATAAACAATCCATATCAACATAACTAAAGATAATGTACGTCAATGATTAATCGACCTAAATAATAGCCAAGTTCGTTTTATTTTACTCGTTATTATAGCCGATAACGCTTATAATAACGATTATAATAACCATATACTCATTATAGACGTATATTTTAACATACAATCATATGGGCTCGTGCTGGGACCAAACGTTTTGCTTGTTGTACGCAGTATCTCGTTCTAGGCAATGCTTATTATAGTGATACTGTATGTATAGCCGTATAGGTACCTGGTGCCTACTTTAGGAATTAACGAAGGGAAAATTTTAAGCTTTTAAACATTAAGATAGGTGTATGTATAAATGTATTATAGCGCAGAGGGCCGTCGCACTCCGCATAACACGTGCCTACAGGACAGTCTCGGCCGACGCTTCGTCAGTATTGGCCTCAATGCTACCTGCASACCTGCTAGCAACAGAAAGGGCTAGAGTTCGGGTTCGCCTGGACGACCAGACTGACGTCGTCCCGAACACTGTTAAAAACCAAGAGAGAATAATCAGCATTGCAGCTTGGCAAGCTCGGTGGGACCGGTCTGATAAAGGCAGATGGACTAACCGGCTCCTCCCTGACGTTGGGCGCTGGTTAGCAAAGCCACCGCTAACCCTGACTTTCCGACTGACGCAGGTGCTTTCGGGGCACGGGTGCTTCCGGAGCTACCTGAAGAGGTTTAATCGGGCGGACGACAGTTATTGCGTATACTGCGTCAACCCCG